ATGAACATGAAAACGATTAACTAAAGCTTAAACGGTTCGAAAATATCCAAGAACAAAGCTCAAAGTCTAACAATGGCAGATAATCCCCAAACCAGAGAGAAAAACATAAAAAGATAAAGATGAAAAGCGTGTATGGAAAAAGACATCGCCACCTTCCCAAAATGGCGAAAACAGCTCAATGGTCACCCCTTCGCTAGCGGCCAAAAACAGTTGAAAGGACAGAGATCGACTTCGGTATCGAGCGACTCTCTCGATCACTTTCGGACATCGTGTCTTCAACTCGATCTGGGTCTCGATCATCTTCGGCATATCGAGTGTTGCATCCGATCTTGGTATCGATCTTCGGTTGGATCGAGTGGTGGACTCGATCCGGCTCTCGCTCTGCATGGCGTCATTTACGTCCGTACCATTTGATCGATTGCTCCACTCGATCTCTGTCTCGATCATTTTCCTTTGATCGCCTGGGTAAACCCTTGTTGCCAGTTAATAAATGAGAGGGATTTAGGATAATTGTTAGTTTACATAGATAGATGAGAATTTGATCATGTATGCATCAATTGCCTTCACCTTTAGCATTATGCATAAAGTTCTTGCCATTTTTGAGAAAAAACCCTTGTTTAAAATGAAAACCCTTTTCAAATGAGATCATTCTATGCTCATAGCCTGCGCCCTTAACCAAATGTGTTCTGCTTTAAAGTGCATAAGTCTGATTAGAGGGGTCTACGTGTTTCAAAATAAACAAGTATGTGGCTGAATATACATGTGCTCCTTCAAAGAAAAGCAACTTCTATAGGACAGCTTCAACAGTAACGATTAGAAATCTTATTATGCATAAATACGTGGGTGTCAAGGAAGGACCTAAACCGAATGATATCATCAACATTATGCGCACGGAGCATGGTTGCGAGCTCTCTTATGCCCAAGCATGGGAGTCCCATGAATATGCAGTTAGTGCTGTTAGAGGCCTTCCAGAGAAAAGTTTTCGCAAAATACCAAAATACTTGCACATGTTGCAAGAAGTTAATCCTGGTACGCATACTTATTACCAAACTGATTACAGTGGTAAATTCAAGTATCTATTTGTTTCCTTTGGTCAATCCGTCAGAGGATTCTACAATGCCATTAGGAGGGTGATTGTAGTTGATGAAACTTTTTTGAAGAGCAAATACAAAGGAGTTCTTCTTGTTGCTACAGCCATAGACGGTAACTCTAATTTGTATCCAATTGCCTTTGGGATTGCTTATTAAGAGAATTATCTTTCTTGGGAATGGTTTTTTATGCAACTAAATGTTGTTATAGCTGATGAGAAAGGTTTGGCTTTTGTGTCTGATAGACATGGTTCAATTGCTAAATCACTTATGAAAGTATACCCATTGGCTAGACATGGAATTTTCATCCACCATTTGTTGTCCAATGTGTTAACACATTTCAAGAGAAAGGGTACAACGACCTTGGTTGAAAGGGCTTCGAAAGCATATAGAGTTGCTGATTTTGAGGATTATTTCAACCAAATTTGCTGGATTAGTCCGCTAATGGCAATATATCTAGAGGAAGCTGACGTGACAAAAAGGGGTCGTTGTCTATTCCCAGGTTTCAGGTTTGACATAAGGACGACAAACGTTGATGGATCGATAAATTCTGCATTGAGATCACCTAGAGAGTATCTACTAATTCCTTTGCTGGACAGCATCAAGGAAATGTTAACACGGTGGTCTTATGAGGGTATGGTATTAAGTGCAAAGCACCAGCATCCTTTAACCGTTGAGGTGGAGAATAAGATTCGTAGAAGGACAAAGAAAGCTGAAACATTGGTTGCTTATCCAATTATTATTGACAGACTTGAAGTTAAAGGCGACAGATTTGATTGCGTTGTTGACTTGGAAATTAAAACATGTTCTTGTGGAAAGTTTGACTTAGGAAAAATCTTTGTAGACATGCCATTAAAGCAGCATTTTCTATGGGCAAGCAGCTACATCCACTCGCAGATGAAGTGTATAGCACTATGATATGGAGAATGGCATATGAGGAAAACATTAATCCAATATCGGTTCCTGAAGATGAATGGCGTGTCCCAAAACATGTTGAAGATGCCAAAGTCTTACCTCCTGATACACGAAGAGGACCTGGTAGAAACAAAAAATAAAGATACCAAACTGTTGAAGACAAGCTTAGATCATTACAAGGATCACAAGGGTCCAAAGATCACAAATGCAGTCGTTGTCATACTGGAGGACATAACAGAGCGACATGTAAAATTCCAATATAAGGAAGGTTATTTTGCTGGAAGAATTGAAGTACTTTTTGTTTTTTTTGTTTTTATACTTGAAGGGGCAAATTAGAAAGAACGATTTGAACCATACGCAAGTTTCATCACTTCTGATTTCATTATTTAATTTGGATTTTGCTGTTTGATTTCTTTTCTTGGTTTCCTTCTAAGTTTCAGAATATTATTTATAGGATTCGTGTCTCACTTGTCAAAGGTATATAGAATATTGCATGTCCGACAGCTTTTTAATGGATGCTGTCTTTGTTTTACCTTTTTATATCTTTTCATGGAAAAACTATCGAAGCTGCTTCTTTGGCTTGCTTAATTTTGAATACGTATGCCTACTGTGTTACATCTGAGTTCGATTATTTTGTATGTCGTGGTGATTTTTGACTTTCAGATATTTGAGATTTTTCAACATTGTTCTGATTTAAAGTGACTTTTGTTTCTATTATTATTCTGAATGGTTGGGTCACTGCCATCATTATTTCATGCAGTATATGTATCCTCGAACGTTTTGCTAATTTGTTGGGTTGGTTTCATATTTAAGGTGTTACCTGAGCTTTTTCACACTGTTCGCACTTCTGATGAGAACTTGAAGAACTTTATTACATGGGGTCTTGGGACTCTGATTTAAAGTGACGTTTGCAAGAGAGAGAAACAAAAAAAAAACAGAGGATATCACAACTTTGTAATTCTTGTGGAACAAGTAATATGGTAAATCCAGATTTTTTACTAGAAAGAAGGCTTAAAATTTGTAGTTTGTACCGTGTAATACTGGTTTATGTGTCTGGCTCAACACGTCAGAGTTACGTTCCAGTGAAGCAGCTTCCCGAACCGGTGGTGAGAAGGTAGTAAAGAACATAGATCAGCAGAGACTGAAGAAGCTTAGCGAGAGGCTAAGTAGATTAAATGGGTACTCGTCGCGGCTAAATTTACTAACACTTATATCTCTTACTTGGCACTTTGTGTATCTCGGCCATCGACTGAGCCTCACTTGTTGATGGATCGAGCCAGCCACCGATACATTAGTTGTTTTTGTGCTTGTCCTCTTAAATGTTTCATGTTTGTGTTACATTTCTGATATCTTCTGTGTGAATAATGGTATTTTGATTCTAATTTCACGCAAATTTAAAGATATTAGATCCAAACACCACAAATTGATAACCAATAACCAATGGTTAAGCTAGTATAAAGTAGATGTACACGTCGTCTACGTTAAAGTACATGTGTGTATGTGGTGTTACAATTTTTAACTCAAACATATAATATTTGACAATTGTATATAAGATGTTTTATTCCTACGTTAAAGAACAAAAGTAAGTGAAAGAGACATACCTACATATAATATTCCAATAATATTCAAAAAATAAAATCCAATAGTATGTCAATCAATATCTACAACGTTATCAGAATTAAAGTTTCTAGGCTCATACTTTGACATTCAGTCAATTAAAACCGGATCATTTGCAGCTTCCCACAGATCAACTGCAATCTTGATTCTCGATTCTCCAATGTTGTTATCATTAATCAAAGACAAGTCTGGCCCAAGCAAGTGACGTTCCATGAATTTGATCGCATACACTCCGCAGTCGCAATGTGATTTATTGAGTCTACACAGAACATGTGTATTTTTGACAGTGTATTTAGTCACATTTAGTTGTCTTCCAACAGACGTTGATTAAACTGCCTTCACTAGACGAGGGATCAATACAGCGAATGGTTCAGCATTTCTTCTATTGTCAGCTCCAGAACAATCGAAGATTTCAATTGTTCTATGAATGAAGTTGATGCACATTGAAATCCAATGATTACCGTTCACAAACAATAGAGCATATATTCGGTCGATATTCATAGCCCATAGTTGCATAGTCTTTCCATGAGAAGGAAGTTCTCCTATACCGTAAGCTAAGATCAAATCACTGAACTTGTACTTTCGACGATTTCTCTCGTACTTATTGAATTCGACTTTCATTTGTAGGCTAAACAATCAATTCGTAAAACCTACTCGAGCTGGTTTCCATTTACGCAAAGTTGTATACTCCCGGAATATGTACATAAGACCATCAATATCCTGGAAAAAATATTAAATATTCGCACATTTGTTCACACTAAGATGTTATTTAAAGCTTATCACATTGCCAAGCCATTCTCTAGGCTGCATGACTCAGTCGAGTAATTCATTGTTAATAATGGTTGTACCTATCTTTAATTTCCTGAAACCGTAAAATTATGAGAATCAAATGACAACAGCGAGTGTAAAATAGTGAGTGTATATATGTGAGTAACTTTATTGAACTACTTACTCGTTTTTGTTATACTATTCCATTAGTTTGGTGAAAGTCTTCTCGGAAACAAATACCAATGAATCATCTCCGTCTTTTTTCCTTCTCTTATCTGTTTTTTCTGTATCGGTAAAGAGTTTTCTTGTCCAATTCTCACGTACAGAAAGAGCAGGTACTTCTGGACTTTCAACTTCTATTGGTGGCAACAAATCTTCTTTGACAAACGAAGTCTTCGGAGTTGAGAAGTGATTGTTTTCTTCGGCATCCCATGTCTCTGTAGGGAACCCGGTAACTACTGAATCTTGTGACAGTAATCTACTGAAGCTTCTCGTCTTACTTACCCTACGTTGATGCGGAGAATCATTGGCAATGGATGGCTCCACGTTCGTTCTAATTCCAGTGATTGGCTCCTTGAGTTCTGACAAATTCTTCTCGGTAATTCCTAGACGCTAGTCCATCTTCTCATCAATCTTCTTCCCGATCTTTTCCTCTAAGTTAGAGAAAGAAGCAAGAAACATTTCTTGAATGAAGGACTTTGTATCTTCATCAAGACGTCCTGGTCTTGCTTCTGCTGCTACTCGCTGACAAAGAATCTTCTTCTTGTGTTTTTCAGCACCATGGTTAGGTAGCGTTTTCTTACCCCTTCTCGAACCAGAAGCTGCAGAAACAGGGATGCCATCTTCACAAGAAGTTTCAGAAACAAGAACACGGTCATCAAATTCTATAGGAGAACCATTCTCATCTATATTCTCAGTAGCCTCAACAGATTCCCAAAGATGGTCTGCAAAAACAATCCCTGCTCTAATCTTATCAGTCAGATTATTAAATTCAACATCTACTTCTTCATCGTTCCATAAGAATTCAGCTGACACGCGTATATGAAAATTTCCAGTAGAAGATATATATGGATAGACAGAGTCCTGCAATAATGTAAAAGAAAATTATTAAACTCACTTGTAATAAAATCAAATTATCCAAAAATCATCATCACAATATTTCCTGATTGCCCCTAAACAAACAATGTTTATTTCGAGATCTCAATATGATGATAAATGGGAAAATAAACTAGTATAGTCCAATATCGAATTTAAAATTTCAACTCACATCGATTCCAAGTGTGTTCTCTAGCTGGATGATATCTTCGTATGATATTTTTGCAGCTCCCATCCAGTTTGAACATCGTGGAGCTCTTGTGAACTCTTCATTCAGTTTTTCTCCCACCAAAGCTCCAAGAACTGGAATTGCTTCCATAACCCAAATTTGAAACGCATAGGAGAAGCCGTCCAAAAAATAGCTCTGTGGATTGTTCAGTTTATCTTGCGTCCTATCTATAGAAGTAACCAGTAGATCAAAAGCTTCAAGCCCCCATGGATAATTTTGAACCTTCCCAAAATCCATTACTAACTCAATGTATTCATGTAGAATTTCTTTCTTCCAATCCTCCGCCATTATCACACCAGCAATTAGACATAAATACACAAGTCTGACCCTGTCCACGTGACTCTAGTTCCTAACACCACCCAAGTGTTTCTCAAGTAGCAGCTTAATGCTAATCTTTTCCTTTGTTTTAAGCAATTTGCTCCAAAACCCATAATCATCTTTCCATTTCGCTAAGTTGCTGACCTCAGTAGAACTTTTGTACTTCAGCCCTGTAACTGCATAGAATTCTTGCATCGAAAATCTGAGAGGCCTCCTTCCAAACATGAACCACAGCTCATGTTTTTTGTTAGTATCCAAGTGCCTACAGAATATGCTATGATTCAACTTTGCTGAATATCCTAAACAGTTTTCATGGATTGCCAGAACATGTGAGAACACTGAATCTCTCTTCACTTCGTTGTATTCTACTGAAAAAATATCTTTTATTTTGTTCATAATTGACATTTTGCAATTGTTGTTAATCTGCGCCATTTGTGGCTTATGTCCGGCTTTAAACAGGCATTTGGGCAATTCATCTTCCATACTTACAAAACGTAAAACATGAAAACATTGTAAAAAGATAGATTTTGAAACTAATTATCGCGACCTAAACCCCTTCAATATCAATACCCAGCCAATTTGTGAAACAAAATTAATGTTCAGTACTTTCTATTACATTGAGCTGCAAACAACAAATCTGACAACTGCTTATTTCAAAATTTTCTGAAAGCTAACATAACTCTATAATTTTCTATTTCATGCCATAAACCATCACAATAAGGGACTCAATCAGCAATATTAAGATCACGATAGATATGTTATTGTACTTTTTTGTGTGGACAAAATTTGGTGAGAAAACATGAAAGATCGTTTACCTTCTTTGGTGTTGACGGAGAAATTGGTTTAAGAGGAAGAGTTGATGAGGAATAGGAGAGCGATTTTTCTGAAGAAGAGAAAGATTGATTATGATGAAGAACAAAATTGATTTTGTTAAAGGAAGAAAGTTGATTATTGTAGAGAGAACAGTTGGTGAAGAAGAAGAGATCGGGAAATCAGCTAAGGAAAAAAGTGTTTGAGAAACGGTGGAGATAACAATAAAGAAAGAAGGAAAGTTTTTATGTTTTTTTGTTTTTCAATGACTTATTCGTATTATTAATAACTATATACTAAAATTTAATAATTAAAGGACATAATCTGTTTTCAATTAATCTAAGGTATATCTCACCAACAATTGGTTAAGAATGTATAAATGGACAAACTGATAGTAAAAACATCATTTATTTCTAATTTTTCCTATATATATTATGTTTCCTTAAATATTTTTTTTTTTAAAAACAAATTTTAAAAATAAATTAAATATTAAAATATATAATTTTGGGGATAATTTAGATATAATTTGACATATAAAAATAAAGGTGTAAATAGACAAAAAAGTACAAAAACATCTTTATTTCTAATTGTCCAAAATGAATAGCCTAAACTAAAAGTAATTTCAAAAAGAAAAAAGTGAAAAAAAAAAAATTAAGAGAACCTTCACATCTATATCTATAGTGTTAGAAGGTTATTTAATGTGAGTTGAAAATTGGGTCCTAGAAGGCACGAAGAAAGAAAAACTCGATATAAAGAAAGTAGATAGGGTTAAAGCATTGACGACGAAGCCTTCTTCGATCTACACTTCTCTTCTCTTAGATTCTCTCTCTCTCTCTCTCTCTCTCTCTCTCTCTCTCGCTCTGTATCTCGCAGGTTACTTCTCCCTCTCTCTTTCTCTCTTCATATGTTATCTGAGTAGCTTCCAACGATTTGGAGATATAATTTCGATGTTTTATTGCTTCGGTTTCTGCATACAAACTTTGATTTCGGTTCCTGTCATCGATTTCTTGCCAATGTTATATATTTTCCTGATCGATGTTTGTATTTCGATTGGAGAAGAGGGGTGATAATCTCTCTGAATCTACTTGTTTCGAATTCGAATTGAGAACTGTTCGATTTTAGATTCCGTGAGCGGGAAAATTGATGTGGGTTTCTTTGGTTTACAGGTTCTTAATGGCGGAATCTTCCAAAGTCATTCATGTTCGTAATGTTGGACATGAGATTTCCGAAGTAAAGTCCCCTCTTTCTTCTTCTTCTATTGATTTTTTCATCTTCTGCACAAGAGTTAATTAGAGAATTATGAATCTTTCTTTTGGTGACCCTCAAGCTTTAATTTTGTTATTGTTCAAACAGAATGATTTGCTTCAGCTTTTCCAGCCATTTGGTGTCATAACTAAGCTTGTGATGCTCAGGGCAAAGAATCAGGTCTCTAAAATTTCCAGCTTCTGTCTAATTTCTTTTGAGGAACTTATGGTTTATCTGAGATTTCTTTTTCTACTTATTGTGAAGGCTCTTCTCCAGATGCAAGATGTTTCTTCAGCAATCAGTGCTCTTCAGTTTTTCACTAATGTGCAGCCAACCATAAGGTTTGCGACCACAAGAGTCCTGCCTTTTATTTTCTTTTAGCTTTGAAACGTTCACACTAATTTATTTGAACATTATCAAATTATAGAGGTAGGAATGTGTACATACAATTCTCGTCTCATCAAGAGTTGACTACAATAGAGCAGAATATTCATGGACGGGAAGATGAGGTTTGTATTTTGTTTATTCATTTGTTGTGTAAATTATATGAGAATCTAAGATGTTGTTTATGTTGTTTTCTTGTTCACTTCATCTACGTCGAATGAGGAGCCTTAACATTTGCTTGTGTTTCATAACCTTCTCATCTTTTTTCTCTCGCTCTTTATTCACTCTTCTTTTCTTTCTCTCTTCTTTCTGTCTGCTGCGGGGAATGGTGGATGTACAGCCGAATCGTATTCTCTTAGTCACAGTTCATCACATGCTGTATCCAATTACTGTTGACGTTCTGCATCAAGTTTTTTCTCCCTATGGATTTGTGGAGAAGCTAGTCACTTTCCAGAAGTCTGCTGGTCAGCTTCTCCGTGTTCTTTTCTCCCTCTTCTATTCTTATAAACTCGTATATCAATTGGGTTTCTAGTAGTGAATTGCATGGCTATTTGTTTGGTTTCATTTTATCGACCAATTTTATATGATATTGCTACTCTATATTTCCATGAAGTTGCTCAGTTTGATGATCGTTTAACTTTAGGCTTGTTTGTGAACTCTTTAGGTTTTCAAGCTCTTATCCAGTATCAGGCACAACAGTGTGCCGCCTCTGCTAGGACTGCTCTACAGGTGCAGATTAATGAGAGGGATTTGTACTATATCGTCTGCCTTACTTTTTTAATAACTTAAATATTATATGTCCTCTTCTTTGTGGCAGGGCCGTAACATATATGACGGGTGTTGTCAGTTGGATATCCAATTCTCAAAGTATGCTCTGTTTGCTTACATATGTTGTTAAAGGCATCTATTGTTACTTTGTTTGTTTCTACATTCTTTGCTCTAGTGTTGTGAGTATTCACCTGGTCTTTCATTTTCAGCCTTGAGGAGCTGCAAGTAAATTACAACAACGATCGATCTAGGTATGGATCATGTGTCCTTGCCTTCTCCTCTTTGCGATTATACAATTTGATGTTATCTTGGTGTTCATATAACTCATTTATATTGCTTTGAATAGGGATTATACAAATCCTAACCTGCCAGCAGAGCAAAAAGGCCGTTCATCTCATGTATGACCAGCTTTACCAAGTAATTACATATGTGTTGTATCCTATTATGCCGTCTTAATGTTTTGATTTTCTTCTCTTGCAGCCTGGCTATGGTGATGCAGGAGGTATGTGTGTGTCGTTACATGATTGTAACTTCATGTGATGTTCTTCTATACTGTGGTCTTTTGCTAATTCATTTTTTCTTTTCCAGTGGCATATCCTCAGGTGTGTTATGGCTCATGATACACGGTTTTAGCAACTCTTTTGGTTAAAATATCACCAGAATCAAATTTTGCCGTTTTGTATTGATTGAAATACCTAGTCCATTCTTGATTTCTTTATTCGTTATGAGTTCATAACTATTCTCATCCATGTGTCGCTACTTAAAAAACTAGATGGCAAACACAGCTGCGATTGCCGCTGCTTTTGGAGGAGGCTTGCCTCCAGGTATAACCGGCACAAATGATAGGTGTACAGTCCTTGTCTCTAACCTGAATGATGATGTAAGTCAGTCATTTCCGATATGCTTTTGACAACTTAAAGTTTTCTTATATCTTTCCGGGCTTACCAGATTTCATTTGTTCCAGAGTGTTGATGAGGATAAGCTATTCAATCTTTTCTCTCTTTACGGGAACATTGTAAGGATAAAGCTTCTTCGGAACAAGCCTGACCATGCCCTTGTCCAAATGGGAGATGGTTTCCAAGCTGAACTTGCAGTACATTTCCTCAAGGTTTGTATTGTGGGATAAGTTTTGAGTTTAAAAAGACGAATGATGTGAAAAAGGGATTGTTTATTGGTATATATGTTTGTGTTTCTTGCAGGGAGCTATGCTTTTTGGTAAGCGGCTTGAAGTAAACTTCTCGAAGCATCCAAATATAACACCAGGCACAGACTCTCATGATTATGTAAACTCGAACCTGAACCGCTTCAATCGCAACGCTGCAAAGAACTACCGCTATTGCTGCTCCCCTACTAAGATGATTCACTTCTCGACTCTTCCGCAAGATGTAACAGAGGAGGAAGTGGTGAGCCATGTCCAAGAGCACGGTGCGATAATGAACACAAAAGTGTTTGAGATGAACGGTAAAAAGCAAGCTCTGGTGCAGTTTGAGAACGAGGAGGAAGCTGCGGAAGCGCTAGTGTGCAAGCATGCGACTTCTCTAGGCGGATCAATTATCAGAATCTCTTTCTCTCAGCTACAGACGATTTAAAGTCGACAAAGGCCTCTCTCTCTCTAATTACATTAGGGTTTGGTGAGGATAATGAATGTATGTTGCTTTAACTCAAACCTCTTTGCTTCTTGTTTGGACTTTACTGCACTCTTTTAACTTCTTGGTTCCTTGGTTTTAATTGTTTGTGTTGATTTCATTGGCTTACATTTAATGGTATTAAAGACATACTCTCTCTGTTTCAAAATAAATGTCATTTTGATACTTTTCACACAAATTAAAAAAATTATTAAAAATTCTATTTTACTTTTTGTTCAAACACAAAATAACATTCTCTTTCTAATTAAAACAATAAAAATTAAATGTTAAAACTAAATATTTATTTAAAATAATATAATGAAAAAGTAAAGTGATATTTTTTGTTTTACAAAAATAAAATTTTAGAATAATATTTATTTTGAAATGAAGAGAGTATAATGAAGACAATGATAAGTGTAGTAATGTTTTACTAAGTGGTGATCCGTGCATGGCGCGGACAATGAATATTCATTAAATTTGTTTATCATCACATTTAAAAGAGAAATTTAGCTATGAGAAATCATAAAAGTTTAAGATACTTCAAATCAAAATAAGTAATCGTATAAGCAACATATCTCACGTCATCATACGTTTCTAAAGTAGCACTATTAGCTATCCGATGATATCACTTTAAACAAAAAAAAAAAAATTAAGACAAATGCTATTATAAGAGTTGCACAAATCAAATCCCTACTAATCGTCGATATCCAAATGGTTTTCTTCTTTGTCCTCATGCCTATACTCACTCAACCCAATCCTATTTAAGCATACATAAGCATAGTAGTTACAAGGACAATTGATCATTATCACACGCTCTAAATAATTATTTGCAAAAACATATTATTATCTTACATCATGTCTCACAACTCATATGCCTCTTGAAGATCAGGATTGAACAAAACTCTCGAGACACCGAGATGACAGTAACGTGATATTCCTCTACCAAAAGTTGATACTCACTCAATAGCCAAAGATCAATATTAATTTTAAGATAATAGTATAATTGTTATATCATTGCATATAACGACACGCCAGTCACTTAGAACGCAAATGACCAATTGTTCAGTACAACTACACCACCTATCGTTGAACTCAATGGCCAATTTTCCGTGTGTAAAACACTTTATCGCCCTATCACTAAAACTATGTTAGGCTGAATTGTTCCATACCGTAAAATAATTTAGTTATAATACAAAACACTAAATAAAGACTTACGTATCGTCTGTTAGTGTAAACTCAATCCTTGATGTCATTTTGACTCAAAATCTTGAAACAAATGATCTCTAACAACCTGAAGTTTGCCAACAGATTCAACGGTAAGTATTATTTCAGAACAAAAACACATGTAAGACCGAATTGTCGATTTGAAATTAAAATGAGCGATCTGTAAGAAGACTCACCAACAGGACAATTTCGCTGAAAGTTCCCTAATTAGAGATTCTCATAACTAAGAAAATGCAAATGTGGATCGTCTCCCTTAAAGAAATCACCAGTTTTGAAATCTCCCAAGACTTTAGTGCTAGAACCAAACTCAACTTTCCAACAATTTGTTGTCACATGCCTCGCCGATCTCGCTGAGACTACACTGAAATTTCTGATTCTTTTCCACAAGCCTCCCTAATAGAGCCTCTTTAAAAAAATAAGGAACAAACTCCACATGTCCTACTGTTGCTTGAATTTTCGAACCCTAGAACATATACAACATTTTTTTAATTAAAAAACCCAATCTGAAACAAAGAAAGAGAAAAAGTGCAAGGAAAAACTTACTTGGTCATCAAGCAGAATGAAATGAAGAACATCACCAACGTCTGGTACCAGTTCAAGCCATCTTTTATAAACCATAACTCTGATAGTCCAGTCCGTTCTTGAAGAACACGACTGACTAATTTTAGTAATTCCGGCCATTTTAGGATTTCAGAAAACAGGCGAAAATCGCTTAAAGATATTTCTACCCTTTAAGTATCAGAAATATTATACTTTACTTCTGATATGAACTCATTACGGCCCTGACTTGTTGAATATAGTAAAGACTTGAGAAAAAAATGAATACCGATAAGTTAAATAGTCAAATATTTAATCATTATGCATGTAAAGGTAAAGAAACGAACGGTTCAGAGCTTTCACTATTCACGACAGTTTGCATTCTTCAAGATAGGATTGAATCATTGAAAAAAATCCGTAAATTTGTAAAGTAACGTTCAAAATTCAAAAATACTTCAATATCATTGGTTAGAACCTGACCACATTAAGGCCCAATACAATTTGTAATCCAATAACATCATAAAACTTTAGAGCCCAGGCCTACTCGGAGAGAATGTCTGCTAAGTTTGTTTACAAAAAAATTCAGAGAGAAGTGTAATTAACCGAAATGAGTTACCATATAAGCATTACATGAACGATATATAGCAGCATAGGAAGTCTACAAAAACATTCCTAGACAACATAGTTCGCGTTCAATATAAGTTTTTAAAAGAAGAAGATAGTAAACAGAAGTTAGGGTAGATATTGCACAAATTAATACATATTAATCGTCAATATCCAAATAGTTTTGTTCTTCGTCTGCATCTTCTTGTTCACTATCTCCAATCCTATTCAAGCATATACAAACAGAGTAGTTACGACAACAGTTGATCATTATCGTACATTGTAAATAATATTTTTAAAAAAAATATAGTTATCTTACAACATATCTCGTAACTCAAGTGCCTCTTGAAGATCAGGGTTGAACAAAACCCTCGAGATGCTGGCTTGATCAGAAACATGATATTCCTCTACAAAAAAGTATTGAGATGGTTAGAGATCATTAAAGATCACGATTTTTTAAAGTATCAAACAAATGAACTTGAGATGGTTAGAGATCATTCGTACCATTGCGTATAACGACTCGCCAGTTACTTAGAACACAAATGGCCAACTGTTGTTCATTACAACAACACCATCTGTCGTTGAACTCAATAGCAAATTTTCCATGTGCATAACATGTTATCATTTGTTCAATAAAACAATATTAGATTGAGTTGTTCCACACCATAAAGCTAAGTAGATTTATTACAAAAAACTAAATAAAAACTTACGTTTCATTTATCAATGTAAACTCAATCTTTGATGTCATTTTTGACTTATAAACTTCAAACGAACGATCTCTAACCACCTCAAGTTCGCCAACCGATTCAACAGCACCAACTAAATCTGTAAGTATTATTACAGAAAAAAACATCTTTAAAATGGAATTGTCGATCTAAAATTATAATGAGCAATATTGAGGAAGACTCACCAACAGGACAATTTCGTTGAAAGTTGCCAAGGTAGTGATACATGGAGTCCACCAAACTTATAGCACACGATTTCAAGATCCGCAACTTCAATGGATGATGGAGGAGTTGCTGAATGATTCCACAATCAGCACTTGAGCAAGACAACTTGATTCCACAAGTAATCTAGACAAAGGGGAGGGGAGGGGGGAGGGGGGGGGGGGAGAGACGAAAGCACCACAGAGAATGATAACTGCATCATTGGAGCTAATTTCGTGGCTAACAAATACCTTAACTACTGAATAAAATCAAAATAAAAGCTAGAACAAAAGAAGATCACAAAAAGAGAAACACAAGGAGTTAGTCAATAATTCAAATAAATGAAACACTTACCTTAGCAGCTTGTGGACGTGTAGTCAAGTAAGGAAAGAGTATTTGCTGCCTCCATTCTTCTTGGTTTGAAATGCCAAAAACTCAAAACGACAAGACTTTAAAAAGAAAACTACAAGGCATTTAAAATACAAGAAAAGGGAAGTTTGCTAAAATAAAAACATAACTATCTAAAATATTTCTGTCTACACTGAGCTTTGAACCGTGGCCTCTTGCTGCTCTAAATACCACTGTGACGCTGTGGATTACTTGCACAAATTTATAATGAAAAGATCTTACCCCATTTGTGCTCAAATGGCCTGGTTTTAAAGCTGGAATGTTCAGGGAGAATATTAGTCTGTTCAACTTGGATTCTTTGATGAATTCTTCCTCTCGATTCTTCTTGAAGTCAAAATGGTTAAAATCCTCAAGTGTTTTCCCGTGATTATCTTTAGTTTTCACTTCTTGCTCCATTTGTTCTCTATCGGCTTCATAGCTTATTTCAGGGATATCTTGAAGCTCCGAAATGATCTCTGATAAATTCTTGGTGCCTTGAACTCCATATCCTATCAAGTAAACGTTATTACCTTGTTTGGTTCAAGGCTGAGCCTTCTTGATCCTTAAAAGTGTAAAATTAATCTTTACGTCTAATTCAGGTGCCTTGGAGCTCTCTTGATAGATACATGGTTTGATGACCTCATCAGGTAGAGATTCTTGTAACTAAGAATCTGCATATGTGGATAGTCTCCCTTGTAGAAATCTCCAGTTTTGAAATCTCCCAAGATTCTAGTGTTAGATTGAAACTCAATCGTTAAACAATTCTTTGTCATTTGTCTCGCCGATCTCGCAGATACTACATTGAAATTTCTTATTCTTTTCCATATGCCCCCCTCATAGAGCCTCTTTAAAAAAGAAGGAATCATTTCTTCACTTCCTACCGTTGCTTGAATTTTCGAACCCTATAACATATACAGTTTTTTTTTACAAAGAAAAAACCCAAATTGAAATAAACAAAAGCAAGCAAAAAATATAGCAAGAAGAATTACTTGGTCATCAAGGAGAATGAAATGAAGAACATCGCCACCATCTGGTCCTAATTCAACCCATCTTTTATAAACCATTCCTCTTATGGTCCAATCAGTTCTTGAAGAACCCAACTCACTAATTCTAGAGATACCGGCCATTATAAGATTTCAGAAAATAGACAATGATTAAAGATATTTTTCTCTGTATATATCGAAAATATTTTAGTATGTTCTGCTATGAACTGACTGTGCCCATTGCTTCTTTATAGTAGAGACTTGAAAAGAAGTCGGATACCGAAAAGCTACATTCTCAAAATTCGAATCATTGTGCATGTATAGAATAAATGAAAAGAATCAAACGGTTCAGAGTTTTCGCTATTCGTGACAGTTCACATTTTTTAAGACATGTTTTGGTCATTAAAATTCATAAAATTAGAATAGTAACATTTTATTTAATACTGTTTGTTAGAACTTGAAAATTCTTTGTCACCAGGCCTACCGTTCTTGTTGGATTTCTAAAAAAGGCAGACCCCTAACAGCTTGTTTTTTTTTTATTATTGGGCTGTTGTAGTTATTATGAATT